CGACCTATAATAACACCCCTCTGTCACTCAAAGTAGTCGTGGGGCCCCCCAATTTTGCATAACTTAAGCCTACATATAATTAAAACAGGTGATTAATATCATACTTCATCCCATTTACAGTTGACATGAATAGGAAAGTTAGTTAAAGAGACCAAACAATTGGCTGTAAACATTATTTTCTGCTGTAAAGTTGAGGGACTTAGTATTTGGGTTCGTGGTGATTAAGTTCTGGGGCAGTGAAGACAATGCGGAAATTAACATAACCAGTTGATTAAGCTACTGCTACACTTTGCAGCCTCCTAGCTTAGTTTAGCATACAAACTGGAAATTGGATGGAAACAGCTAGCCTGGCTCTGTACACAAGTCACACAAATTAATTCAGATTTGACCCTTTTGTGCTTTTTAACAAACAGGATACTGTATGCCATAGTGATTAGTAGGCTATAAACATGCTAGTTTTTTTTTTACCAAGGAGCCTAGCTAGCTGTTTCCCCCTTTACTCCACTACAGCCTACCGCTAAGCTAAGCGTGGTATCAATCCTCTCATATAAATGTAGGCAAATGAGACACGATTAAAGAGGAGAAAACAAAAAGAACAAAGAGCATGTGTGAACATCCATTTCAGTATGTTTCTCAGGGGAAATGCTATGTGTGTAGAGCAGTGTACAGGGGGTAAACAGATATCAGAAGCGCTTATTGAGAAAGGGGTTCTTATTTGAAGTAATTAAATCCCCAGTGCACCCACAGTTAGAGAGGGGTTATACTAATACATCACATCCCTTTTGTTGCTGCTTTTTCTCCTTTTTGATGCAGTTTGCATTCCACACCTTTTTTGTGACTTTCCAGACTGCTCTCTCCTTGACATACTATATCTTGCAGTTTGATTTTTGATTGAGGCAGCAGCAGTTCGTTACAGATTATTTTTGCCATTTTGGAGCTCCTTACAAAAAATCAACATGCTGATTACCAGACCTCTTGTAGCTCATAAATGCTGCTACTTAGCACTAATCAGCACTAATACCAGTTGAGCTACCTTTTAAATCATGATTACGTTTCTCCAAAAGTCAAAGTCCTGCGTACTGTTTTTGTATGCCTCCTGTGGACTTGTTTTGCTGTATGACTGTCACACATAATGCACATACAGTAGAGCTTGGTCTGTAAAACAAGGGGACAACTCTGCATGCAGCAAGTAAAATGTATGAATATTTCAAGACTTCTCGTTCTGTTTATTCCACCACAGACACTGTTCAGCATGTGGTTGTAGTTTAATCACAAATTGACAGGCCTACTTTAATTATACATGAAAATAATTATGCTCATGTAAGGTGCTTTATTAAGGCTACACTCTAAAAACAAATCCCTTGGCTCAACAAAGAAAATCAACGCAACAGTTTGCATCGATGTTTATTGAGTTAAGACAACTTCTAATGAAATTGTATTAAAGCAACAAAGTTATTTGAGTTAGGGGAGAAGGCTTTTCCTCTACAATCAGAGGTGTTTTGCACTTACTTAATAATTGGTAGCATAAACACAAGTTTTGAAGTTGATTACTCAAAATATTAAGTTGTTCCGACTAGTTTTACCACATGACTTAAAAGGAATTTTAAATTGTATGTACTTAATTACCATCATTGTGAACACACGTTTTTAAGTTGACAACCATTTATAAATTAAGTTGCTCCAAATATATTGTATAATAGTTTTTAGTTTTTTTTAATGTTTTTGCCTTTAAAGAAAGAAATTAATTGATTCCACAAAAAAAATATTAGGCAATTCACTTTTTATTTTGAACTGCAGTTGTTTATTTCAACACATGATGTTTCAATCAGGAGAGAATTCATTTAGTTTGAACATTTATTGACACATGCCATGATAAGGTGCATGAACACCTGAAATCACAGCTGACTGCAGGAGAGAGGAGAACCATTTTATAGTTTTGGCTGCCAGCCGTTGATATGGCTGCTTGGAGAATGAAGGTGAAAAGTTAATAGTTTAAGAGAACGTCTTGTGATTAGTGTGATTATAAGCAGCTGCGGAAGTGAATGTATTACAACCAGTCTTCCTGAAAGGAACTTGCCGCTGAGCTTTCATTTAGTCTTTAAAAAAGATAAATAACAAAATTTAAATAAACAATCTGCCAATATTACCATGGGGAAATGGGGACACAGGCAAAATAAATGCTGCCATCACATCCAAGTTTGGGCCTTTGCATATTTAAAACCAGTGCCAAATATGTAAAATCTGTAAAGTTTTTGTCAGAACTAACAGAAACAACTCTTCAATGGCCACCCAATCTGCAGATCAACCACCATCAATTTTACAAGATGTAACAAAGATGTTTACACTGCGCGACAGTCTTATTTCAAACAGTATGAAAATTTAACGCAGAATGCTTGCTCAATTCATTTTGTTGCCTCGACCACGGATGGTTCCCATCGTATGGTCCTGATCTCTGGGGTGGACCGGTCACTGATGATGGCGATATTCATGTCCTTTTGAAGCACATTAATAATGGTTAGCGCATAAGGATAATTGATTAGGTAATAGCACTGCCATACTTTTTAAACTTGTCTACTCTAGCGAATTCAGGAGCTTATTACAGTGTAAAGCAACGCTGGTATTGTTTTCCTATTGAGTCTGCATGAGTGTGTACATCATGGCAATGTGGTCTTGAGACAAACAGAGTGGTCTTTGAGTACTTAGCCTAGTGTTTACAACTGCATGTGGAAGTTTGGTCAATCACAACCGTGCAAGTTTTTAGTGTACTTCTCATCTTGTTTTGCATGTTCCATACAATATTGAACTGGTTAAGTGAAGAGCAGAAGCCACTTTTGAATTGTACACAATCCTTTTCCCATGCCAGTTGCTGTCAACACCCTATCCATGCTGAACGTTGACTAAGAGTTATTATTGTTGGGGTGTGGCCAAAGTGCAATATCTGTCAAAATGTAACCTGACAGAGAGCAGTGATGCTTTTGTCCTGTGCCCAATGGATTTTATTTTATTTCAACGATTTTTAATTTAACATCGCTAGTCTTGAAAAGTCCTCTCCTTTCTCAACGTACACAACAAAGGCAGCCCCGATGGCTATAGTTGCTCCTGCGGTGCTTCAAATTGTATTGTGTATGTTTTGACAAAAGGAAAAAAGGAAATGACCCCTAAATGAATTATTCTGAATGGCGTGCACTGCCAACATCTTGCATTTCAATGACATCTCTATACGATCCTACTCAAAGAAGCATGTCCTTGATCTGCTTCACCAAGATTATTTTTAATAAAAAGCGATATCACCAATAGTAACCAAAGTATTTTTCTCTCACAGTAGGCTCTCATACTATGGTATCCCTCTCACAGAACTATTCACAGCGTTCAAAGGTGCTAATTTTGGTCAACAGCCAATTTACCATACAGTGCAACTCAAGGCTATCTTACTGTATTTGAATGACAAAAGATGACTCACACTTAAAATGTCCTTTGCGTAGTATTTCTATTCTGTCTTAACTGTCGGAACCTTGGTCCAGGGCATGTTAAGTGGGAGTGGACTTGGAAAATCCTTAACCAAGCGTGGTAGAAACAATTAGTTAATCAAGCACAATTACAGTGTACTCTACTACAACTGGAATTTTGTTTTAAGTCAATTAACGCAGAAATCAGGTTCAAATTACACCACAATATTAAGTTGATGCTAATGACCAACATTATTCGTCAGCAAACTATAAATTTAATTTTTGCAAATTAAAATGTTTATTTGGAATCAATTAACTCACATTTTTATCTTGCACCATGCATTTAATTAAGGTGGAGTGAAAGGTCGCCCTTGAATTCGTTTTAGGATGTAGATTTGTGCATGTTTCTCGACTCATTTAATGAATGAGGCGAAACTACCTGCCTGATAACAAACCTTAGGCAAATTTGTTTTGGTTTCTGTGGAGGTTGTGGCTTTAAAAAGGTGTGGTGGCGAATAATTAAAGCTCAACTTTCCTCAGTTCACGTTCCCTGATGATACTGTAGGTAATTTACCTTGTTGGCTGTCTAAAACAGCACCAAAACAAAAAGTAAAGAGTACATTGTCTTTTCTTATCCAGGCTGGGACACACTGAACAACTCTTCAACAGTCGAGTGACACAAAAAAGAACAGATGATCATTTCGGTTAACCAATAAGGGAACTCATTCTTCTTTGTGTTCTACTCCTCCATCATAAATGTGCATGATATGGCTGAATGATTTGAAAACGGATATTCATTGCGATCATCTTCGCACTTGATGACTGATTAAGATATAATTAACGAATTAGA